AGGTCGACATGACCAGCTTAATCCCGACAATTTTCTCTATTGTGTGTGCTGTCTGGATAAGTAGAAGTCCTGATAAGTAGAAGTCCTGATAAGTAGAAGTTTGATAAGTAGAAGTTTGATAAGTAGAAGTCCTGATAAGTAGAAGTCCTGATAAGTAGAAGTCCTGATAAGTAGAAGTCCTGATAAGTAGAAGCCCTGATAAGTAGAAGTCCTGATAAGTAGAAGTCCTGATAAGTAGAAGTCCTGATAAGTAGAAGTCCTGATAAGTAGAAGAATTTTCTTCGGTTCCTGCGACTCCTACTTATCCAGACTCGACTGTTTTATTGTTATTAATAATATTATTAATGGCTGTCCAATGATTTTAAGGAATAATCTGTAAAACCACATATCCGAGTCCTTTCGTGGTAAACGCAGTGTGTGTGTGTGTGTGTGTGTGGGAGGGGAGTGGGTGGGTGGGTGGGTGTGTGTGTGTGTGTGGGTGGGTGGGTGTGTGTGTGTGTGTGTGTGTGTGTGGGTGGGTGGGTGTGTGTGTGTGTGTGTGTGTGTGTGAGTGGGTCGGTGGGTGTGTGTGCGGGGTGGTATTGGAGGCTCAAAGTGTTTAGATCAAGCGGGTTGCAGCAATGGAATCCACTTCCTGTCTCTTGTCTTTGTTGTACATTCTCTCGGACAGCTGTTCGTACAACTCTTGGTGGTGTCCTCCCACTTGTATCGTTACTATTCTGTTGCTCTCGTGTCCTCAATCTTTCCCATCAGCACGGTTTTTAACAGAGAGATAAGTAATTAAATGTGCCCAAAATATTTACATTTTCTCAAATGTTTTTTTTTTTGGTCCTTTCAGTAATTTTTTTTTTTCATTTACAATCTTTCAGAACCTCTGTATTCACATCTTTTTTTTTTTTTTTTTCTAACTATTGTTAATCAGTCTTTTTTTATTTATTTTTTATTTGGTTATTTTCGAGAAAATTACATTCCTACTTTTTCACAGATTATACATTGTTAGTGGCTTAGGCGTTGCGAGTCCGACTTGTAATTCCAGTAATTCCAGCGTACCGAGATCGAAACTCCCTGCTGGCTGCGTGGATTTTTATCATGGTATGGGAGTTGCAGGTGGACCCAGCCTTAAATGGGTATCAGGATGGGCTGTCCTGGGGAAGAAAAGACGGCCGGCGTAATGCTGACCCCATTACAACCTAGTGCCGAATGGTCTGTAAAAATATGGGTGCTCTTCCCATGTGCCCGATGTGCCTAGTGTCGTGAAAAGGGATCTTTACTTTATACATTGTTGACATCAGAAGGAGACCTTCGTCACTGTTCGGCCATGTTATGAGAAGAGGGAAACTAGAACACATTATGACCAATGGAAAGATCTGTGGAAGGAGGGATAGAAGAAGACAACGAGAGAAGATTCTTGACAGTCTTGTTGCACGAACTGATACATGCTGCCGGAGATGGTGGATTGTGGAGAGGCATGATCGCCCACGCCAGTCGGCAAGGCACCTGATGATGATGATGATGATGATAGCAGTCTCAGACTGCAGTCAGACAATCTCAGACCATGAAAGGGATAGACAGACATAAAACATAGACACAGCCCTGGCCCAGACGCTTTCTTGACATGTATACCAGATTACGGTTACAGTTCGCGTGCTCTGTTTCCGAAAATCGGAATTCGATAGAAAATCGCTTCCTATCCGAGGCGGGAATGAGGGCTGACGAGGGCAGGCGACGGAGTGAGGGCTGGAGAGAAAATGAAGGTTGGCGAGGGAGTCAGGATGGGTTATTAAACATGATGCTCCTCCTGGTGTGGGTTCCGTGCAGTGCCGCAGCAAAATCAGGTGGTGCCTGGTGCGGAAAATTTCCTGTCATACCCCTACCCAACAAGAATACACTCAATTACACACACACCCACACACACACACACACACACACACACACACACACTCAGACCAATATATATACCTAAACATATTTTTGCTACTTTGCCACGCCTCTTAGTGAGACACCTGGGGTGGCCAATCATCCCCCCCCCCTACAACCCCCTTTCATACGCAACTGGTTCCCTGGCTCCATTTTAACTCACACAAAAAAAATAGATCGACTGCCCGACCTTCTCCCCCCCCCCCCCCCCCCCCCCCCCCCCCCCCCATGTTGGTGAAGGGAGTGACTAACCAGGGATGTTTGCTTCAGTGCATCTGCCTGAGAGACAAAAAAACCAACACTCTGCATACAAATAAACCAGATCTGTTAACGGATGTGCTCGCAAAACTCAAGTTCTGAATCAAGATCAAAGTCCAGGAGTGGACAAACAACCATAACTTTCCGTCGGATTTTACAGCCGCTGAATGCTCAGATGAAGAAGAAAATTGATTTTGTGCAGTTGGGAAAGGGGGTAAATTCAGATTACGATTTTACAGTGAATAACAGGTCACTGGTTAGCTCCATCATACACCCCTCCTGGGCTGTTCCTTTGTGAACACCCCTCCCAGTCTGCCTGTCATCTTCCCGCCCTTTCTCTGTTCTAGCGGTTGATAGATGGACTTGTCCTCGAGGGAGGGGTGCGTGGCATCCAATACAAACCCTGCCATTTGAATACCCAGTGATGAATTAGTGTATTTGCTTATAGTCTGAACGCTCTCTTGTAACGGCCGGTCGAACGTTGTAGAATCAGGATTCATTCCCTCGCACTTAGCCGGCGCGTGTTATCTTCCAATCCATTTCGTGCCCTTGCCTCAATTTAAGGAGCCACTGAGAAGATCTGGCCCTCGTAAATGTGCATTCGATTCATATTGGCTCCGGCATTTACTTATGTGGCTCGTTGAGCTAGTCTTAGGCACATCTCATCAATTACTTCTTGCTTCACAAAAGCCGAAATGGCAGTCCAGGGCCAATCACTCTTGTCATTTGAACGCTGGACTAATCAAGCAAAAAGCTGGAAGAAAATAGCCGGCGAAACGATCTTTCTCAATTTCCTTGCTTGTCTGGCCGTTTTTCTTATGCTACTTCTCAAACTCTGGTTTGTTTCGGCTGATGACGGGTAAAGACGGAATCACTCTTTCACTCCTTCCTTCTGTAACCAGACTAAGCAGTAGATGCCACAATGTGTGGTTTATTTAACGGACGACGGTTCGCGGTGCCACTTTCCTAATAAGTGGCGGTTCAAGAAGCGTTAATTCTGAACCATAAATCGATTCAGGTTGAGGGTGAAAATTGTCAAGACAGTTGTGAAAGATGGGACTGGTGATGAGATGGTTAGCCAACCGTGAGAGCAGACTGGTACACGTATGTCGTAGGTTACAAAGCATTGATCTAATTAAATAGTAGATGCGCATGAATGATTACAAGTAAAAGGACTTTCCTTCCACGACATTATGTTTATGTGCATATCAAGCTTTTTCTTATGGTCACCGGCTGTGAACTCCTGTGGAAAGTTTCGGCTGTTCGTCCACCTCTGGACTGTGGCTCTGTTCCAAAACCTAAGTTTTGCGTGCATATCCGCTTTACATATCTGACTAATTTGTATGTAGACTGTTGCTTCCTAGCCTCTCAGGCAGATGCACTCCGACTTCGAAGGAAGCCTTTACGACGTGCTTGTTGTAGAGGCAATGGGTCTATTCTTGTTTTCCCCACAATGGAGCCTCAAAATCCACACGTGGAGTACTGGGCACATAGGGCTAAACATATCTTTTGTGGACCAATCATCACTCGGGAGATGATGTCAACATAACGCCGGTCGCCTTTACTTCTCAGGATATCAGCCACACAAGGTTGTGTCGACCTGGGATCCAAGGTCTCGTTTACCTCCGATTAAGGAATGCTTAAAGACATCTCACTTACGTTATGTCGGAGAGTCACATTGGAAACAATTCAACGTCTGCTCAGTCTGCGGAACGAAATTGTGTAGATCGATAAATGAATGAATCATTTGGTGGTCCGAGCATCCTTGTTATCTGCGTAATACGTTCACATCATAATTAATCTTCTTCTTCCTTTTTTCTTTCCGTCCTACTCCTCCTCATCGCGAACATCGTCATCATCATTATCGTCATCATCGCATTCGCCTTGCTCTTTCTTTCTTTCTTTCTGTCTTTCTTTCTTTCTTTCTTTCTTTCTTTCTTTCTTTCTTTCTTTCTTTCTTTCTTTCTTTCTTTCTTTCTTTCTTTCTTTCTTTCTTTCTTTCTTTCTTTTCTTTCTTTCTTTCTTTCTTTCTTTTCTTTCTTTCTTTCTTTTCTTTCTTGTCTTTCTTCTTTCTTTCTTCTTTCTTTCTTTCTTCTTTCTTTTTCTTTCTTTCTTTATTTCTTTTTTTCTTTCTTTCTTTCTGATCTGTCTGTCTGTCTGTCTGTCTTTCTTTCTTCTTTCTTCTTTCTTTCTTTCTTTCTTTCTTTCTTTCTTTCTTTCTTTCTTTCTTTCTTTCTTTCTTTCTTTCTTTCTTTCTTTCTTTATTTATTTATTTTCCCCGTTTTTTTTTCTTTATTTGTTTGTTCGTTTGTTTCTTTTCTAATACTCTGAACCTCCTCCTGCTTCTTTTTCTTCCTCTTCTTCTTTTCTTCTTCTTCTTTTTCTTCTTCTTCTTCTTTCTTCTTCCTCCTCTTCTTCTTCTTCTTCTTCTTCTTCTTCTTCTTCTTCTTCTTCTTCTTCTTCTTCTTCTTCTTCTTCTTCTTCTTCTTCTTTTTCTTCTTCTTCTCCTCCTCCTCCTCCCCCTTCTTCTTCATTATTTGCCCTAAAATCGCGGTTGGCACAAAGCATTGTTGTTTTAATCCGCTATCAATGTTATGATTGAAATAACATTAAGAAAAAGAAGCTTGTTTCCAAAATTATATAATATAAAGTTCTATATAGCTTTTACAAGCTACCAATGTCTGGAAAATGCGCCTCATACTTTCTTTCTTTGTGTTACCTTGACTAATAAGATCGCTATCTAGATAGGCCAAAATAGATAATACATATTTATAATTAATACATTTTTTATTGTTCTCCCATTAGGCGGAAGTCAAGCAGCAGCCATGGGGAAAACCCGACGCCCCAGGACGGCCTTCACTTCGCAACAACTTCTGGAGCTAGAGAGGCAGTTTAAAATGAATAAGTACCTGTCCCGTCCCAAACGGTTTGAGGTGGCCACCTCGCTTATGCTCACAGAAACACAGGTGAGGTGGATTATCTAGATGTGTTGTATAAACATTTTAGACGCACAACTGTTTTAATCTAAATTACATGTGAAATACATAATGAATTGTGGAGAGGTGAATAGAATCACTGACAGCTCTAGCAGTAAGGCCGAACAGGTCTCCGGAAATTCCCGTTTTGTTAGGCTGGTCTGTGCTCCTCATTGTTATCGAGTAGTTTTAATACACAAATTAAACTACAGTTTTATTACCCCCCCCCCCCCCCCACCCCTCCCCATCAATGAGTCACCGGAATCCACACGGGGTACAGAACCATGTATCTTAATTAGCAATGTCTAAGTGTGTGTGTGTGTGTGTGTATATATATATATATATGTATGTATGTATGTATGTATGTATGTATGTATGTATGTATATAAGGGAAGTAGGGCTACATAGCGGCTAGATGTTGACCGGCCGACCCGAAGTCTAGTGTTTAAATCTTTCTTAGGGCATTAAAAAAAAACATTCTCTTAGTATTGACCTTGGCTCCTAGGTTGACCCAGCATCAAGTTGGTACCAGGTAAAGTCCTGCAGAGTACCGGCGGCCCCTGCTGATTGATCTATAAACATGTAGATCTTCAACTATATGCCGACATGGGTCTAAAAGAAGGAGGTCCTTTACTTTCCAGCACATGCAGCCAAGTCTGTAAACATCTGGAAGTCAAAGTCACTCAGCAGTCACACAGAAATCTGAAGATCTCTAACTCTTGCGTGATTCCAGTGCTCACTTATGGATGCGAGAGTTAAAAAGCAACGGTAGCTCTAGATAAAACATTAGACAGTTTTGAGAACGGATGTTTTAGAAGAATACCGAATCTCCACTGAACAAATTTCAGCTCCAGTACGCAAATAAGACAAGAGACTAAGCGGGAAAATATATCAATTTTTTTAAGAAAGCGCCGCAGGAACTACATCGACCATGCACTCAGAATGGAAAAGACAAAAATCCCACATCAAGCCCTCATATGGACACCAGAAGGGACAAGAAAACGCGGAAGACCAGGAGAGACCCTGCGATGAACCATCCCCAGGGAAGGCTCAACCATGGGCCTAACAAACATCCAAGACTTAAAGCAGGTGGCAACGAACTGCCAGACATGGAGAGCTATGACATCTGCCCTATGCGCCTCCCTAGACCCAAAAGGGATAGACTAACTGTATGCAGCGGGAATTTCCATTTTAGTTTAATACTTTTTTTTCGAGTAAACATAAAATTGTTTAGCTATTCAATTTTTTCTTCGTATTTTTAAATGAAATATTATTTTGCTACAGGTAAAAATCTGGTTCCAAAATCGAAGAATGAAATGGAAGAGGAGCAAAAAATCCAGCAGTGACCCCAAGCCACGCCCCGAAGAATCAACCAATCAAAAACTTCTCTCCAGTGAAGCCAACAAGCCCAACGACCACACTGACGCTTCATTGGATACTTCAGACGAACGTGATGAATGCGGATTGGACGACATAGGTAATGAGAACATTGACGTCACTGAACTTGATTACGAGGATGAGGAGGATGAAAGTCCCAGCCAAGTCCGAGTGTGTCGATCGCTGCCAGGTGGGGGTCAAGTTCAGGACGTTTTGCAGAATTTACATATTCATAAAAACAGCGATATTTTAAACATGATTGAACCAATGCATTAA